CGATGTATGACTAATTGTTATTGTTTAAAATGTTGCCGATTAAAATAAACAGTAATAATAATTAGCTATGTGCCAAGCGTTCACTAAAATCGGTCCTTAAGGGGTTTGTCCCTAAGAAAATATTTACAGATTTGATTATGTTTAGGGGTTCACAATGCTGAAGTTTCTTTCACAGAATCGTTTTGTTAAAGGCGTTATTGATATTTTATTTAAAGTTTAGCTAACTTTATGGTAAACTTTCAAGTTTAATCAAAATTATGGTTGATAATTAGTTTCACTTAAAATTTCCAGACTCTGTTAAGTCTATGGCTTTTTGAAAGTTTAAGTGAATCGTATAAGTATAAGATACATCGTTCGTACAAAATTGTATTTTCGTTCCTAAAACATTATGTCGAAGAAACGTTATCAGGAGATCATAATAATAAATTTAAACATATTGAAGCATTGCTACGTTTATGGGATCGTGTTTCAAGAAACTAAACAACATGTAAACATAATTATGTAGATATATCTTTCTGGATTATATTAGTTATTTCTATCATAAATGATTTATTATAGGTTGTAGCCCGTAATAATTGTTTCCAAATTTCTTAAGCATAGGTCTATAGGAGTTTTCGGCCTTGTAAATTGTATAAATTCCGATCGTGATTGGTGGGATTCAAACCCGGGACCTTGAATAACCGAACTTCCACGCTCTATCACTAAACCAGCTAGTTTCCATTTCTAGCGAACTGCGTCCAATAGTTTTGTTAAATTCCTGCCGGGAATCGCACAAAAACCCTTATTTCAAAATTAATCATCAAGTTCATCAAACACATTCTGTGTGTAACTACTTATCACTTCATTTTCATGATTCACATCACTATTCACCACTGAGCCTTCGCTACTTTCATCCCCTAATCCAACCGCGCGTTACACCAGTCTATTCACAACCTTTATAACATGAGATACCATCGCGCGTTCATTATATGGTGTATTCAGGGCTCACCATAGTGAAACAAAGCTGACGATCGTTGGTAAAACAAAGCCTGAGCGTTTAATACATAATCGGTGTTACGATATTTCAATAGATCAAGTTCAACATTTGATGATGTTACTTTGATGGGAAATAATCGTTTGTGTGAAATGTAATCGTTTGTATAGAGTGGTTTTAAATACGAAAAAGACGTGTCAAAGGTGAAAGTTTATAATATTTTACAGGATTGTAAAATAGCTTACTGGGGTTCAGAGGAATTTGTAATTTATCGATGAAATATTGAATCGGATAAGGCTTAATATATATCAATTGATTATGAAATTATTGATATGGGAACGCCACCTCGTATTTTATCCCAAATATGCGTGAAAGATGAGTGTAGAATGTTGTGAGGTGATCTGTGTCGCTTTTTTACTGACTGTCAGCTGTTTTATCAGGCAGGATAATTTGTTTAAAGCCCAATGATCAGGGACAGCTGGGTCCGGTTTCGAACCATCAAAAGCTACTGACTTTTCTCTGGATTGAACTGGCGACATTTTTATTGTTAGCTGATTAGTTTAACCACCCAGGTTTGAACTATATTTATCTATATACTGTATATAAAATCCAATGTATGTATGTTTGTTTGTTTGTTTGTCCTTTATGGACTCCGAAACCGCTCAACAGATTGTAATGAAACTTTCAGGCATTATTAAGCATTATTCAAGAATGGTTTGTGTAAAGTTTGGTGCAGATCCGTCAAAAGGGCTCTGCCCCAGTGGCTCTTGAGTTTCCCATGTTAACCTTATGAGTACTCATATTTAAATGGAATTAAAGAATCTTAACAGCTGGTTCAACTAAACAATTTGATTCTGTGATGTTCGATAGCATTAAAAAGTTAATAGGCTTACCAACAGAGTGCAGCACTATTATTTTTTTAAATTCATGACAACAGCTAATTTGCAACCAAAAGGTGAGTGAACGTAGCGAACGAACTTCAAACTGGAGGCGAGTTAGCGTAGCGAATGAGCTAACCTGAAGGCAAGTGAGCGCAGCGAACGAGCTCCAACCTAAAGGTGAGTGAGCGTAGCGAACGAACTTCAACCAGGACGTGATTGAGCCATGCGAACGAGCTCATCTTGAAAATGAACGAGCATTTGACATTAAACCACATTAGGACAGGACGACGTCTGTCGGGCCAGCTAGTTATTTGATATGACAAAAATCATTAGAAAGAGCCATTCTCGTGTTAAAGATTTGTTGAATGATTTATTTCCCTTGATTAGTTAAGGTAGTGAAAATAGCTTTTTTTCTTTTACTTGTGTTTTACTACTTTATTTTAATTTTCAAAACACCATGCTAAGATTCCGCTTCAACTCCTCGGTACTATACTACTACTATACCTTTTACTACTGTACCTTTTATTAAATAGCATCATAAATTTACAGCCTAATGATAAAAATGGCGATTCGGTTCAAAATCGATTTTGCTTGGGACCAAACCAGTTATCTTCAGATCCGAAGGCGAGCACTATCCACTCGACCACCCAGACAAGGTCTCATATCACTTAGCTGTGAAAGCACAAACTAAGTATAACATTTTTTTACTACATATTTCTCAACAATCAATTGTATTTTAAAGTCCTTGAAACGGAGGTAACATCAAATCAACAGAGCCATGATGATCGCATCACCTGATAGTTTCAGGGCAGCCAACTGTGACGTCATGTTGCCGTTCCGCTGAGTGAAGATGGCAAAACAAAACGGATGACTGCAGACAACGCGTGTGCAAACTGTGCAACATGAATGGCAAACACACAACTTTCAACAATAGGATTAAAAGGGGCGAAACTAACTTTGGTGTTGGTAATCGTATTAAATTGAAGGAAATATGGAGTAATGTAATCATTGCAGAGCTAGATTTGAAACTGTCTGGTGCTGGTGCTGAACAATCAAAAGGTAACCGGTTCGATCCTAAGAAAAGACAACTAGTTTTTTGATGGTTCGAAACTTATTATTAAAAAATAGGTCCAGCTGTCCCAGATTATTGTGCCTTAAATAAACTAGCTGTTAACCACGAGCTTCACCCCGTTTGACGTCATAAATATTATTAAAACTATAGATTGTTAAGTTAAGCTGAAATAAACAACACAGAATACAGTAATACAAACAATCACACCTGATTTCAATAAGGTAATAAATTGAAAGAATAACATACAATTAAGTACAGCTGAGGTATTTTTAACATTATTTACAGTATATTTAAAGTTCCCTTTGGAAAACAATATTACGACCTTAAAGAGCAATTTGTGAAATGATGGATAGTTTTACGCAAGGTTTCTCGTCATGACGAACATCTGAAGTAAATGGTTTGTGGGGACTTGTAGTGTTCTCAAAAGTTCATGGGTACTATGTGATTTATACTGTATATGGATACCCATTAATACTTTCCGACGAATTCTAGACTTTAGGAAACTGAGCTAGTTACGTACTAAAGCTTATTGTAACAATATAAAAGATTTGATATTTAAATAGCTACTTCCCTATAGGGAAAGTCGATAAAAACACTGTATAAACTGTATACTATCATTAGGTACCAGATATCTCAATAATATTATTTACAGCAACTAGAATATGTTAGAAGAGTATTTTAAAACTCTCTGAGGAGGTTTAATTAGTGCCGATTCTATAATTAGGTTTTGTTATTTCCAAAAACTGCCATGAAAGAAACAATAAACCCTATCTAGAAAAGTATCAACTTTCCCAATTGAGGTTTATTGGACCTTTGGAAAACTAATTAAAAGAAAACAGAAACTAATCTTTATTCCTCTTGAACGGAATTTGATCTTTCCTCGAATTCAATCAGATTAGGTCTATCTTCTCCGCAATATTCTCTTAATGAAAGTGGCTTTTTAAATTGCATAAATCTTTATTGCAAAGCTGTTATGCTTGCTTGCTATCTTAGTGGTTTATAAACACTAATTGCAATTTTTCTGAAGTTGTGATTTTCCTCAGTATTATTTGTAAAGGCTTATATAGAATGTTTTTCACCTTTTTAAGCTTGGTCTGAAGATTCTACTTGTAAACTTATTAAATCCTTCGGCCTATTTTTAATTTTACTTCTCACAAAACATTTTGGAAATATTGACTTATAACAATAACCTTTCTGCGAATAACTGAAATTGTATACTGATTTTTGTAACTAGAACCTGCAAAACATCTTCAATAGAGTTGAATTATGTTTACGCATTTTGAAACTTTGGTTATGAAATAAGTATTAAACTTTTTTACCTAAGACCCTTTGAGTAGCCGTTTCAGTTCAGTTCTTAGAATTGAAAAGATTCACATAACAGCATTGTTTACTTACTTATAGCATTGTTGTTTTACTTAACAACACGGGTGTATACACAAACATAAATTATCACCTAGCTCGTTATTTAAATTTTCGCAGCTTTACGTGGTAATTAAATCAACCCAAATTTTCGATTCGACTTTGCTAAAACTTCGTTAATTTACGCCCTAATTCCAGGCTTTGAAAACACAACAGTTCTTATACGACACATTTACGATAGCATAAATACAATTGCGCTACATTTAAACCGCAAGCATTCATACAAATATTAGTGAATGAAATACGTGGATGGATGGAAAAGCAATACAACCTGACCCAAAAAAATAGCACAACAAACAAATATTTACAGTAAATATAGGTGTACAATAGGAAAAAATCTTTGTCATTACTAAAATTGATTTTTGAGCAAAAATGATTAACTTTAACCAAAAAAAATGACGTCTACTACGGAACCGGCAACCGGCTTTCCTCAAAATAGTGTTGACACAAACCGAACAGAATAATAACACAGTCATGGTAAAAATAAAGAGAAATCACTGAATATATCTCAATACGACTTTTAATATAGCAATAATCAAACCACCTAAACATAATTTGCAATCGGATATTTCAAAATATAAATCAAATCTTTTGTGGATAATATTATGTATCCCCAAAAACATTATTGTAAACAGTAAAGTTCACTTTTACCTACCTTTAAAAATGCGATACCAAATCGTATATCCAAACAAACACAACACTCCAGTCAAAAGTTTTCGAAACGCGCGATGACGCACAAACGCACACTCGACGCCACGACGCTTCCGACGCGACGTCTGTCAGAGCACTGAGCGTCCCTACCCCCACCCTGCCGCCCTCCCCTATAAGTCACCCCTAAGCACCCCTCTCCCTTTCACTACCCAAACGCACTGCACACGACCCCACTTGAAATCTAAATTAAAAATAAGAAAATCGCTTCCAGTTTTAAGGCGCTAATAAACCCAGTCGAAAGCTTCTGGAAGGGAGAGACTCTCAACCCCGTGGCAAACGAAACGGGTAGGTTTAATGGATTTGGTGTGATGGAAAGGAAATATCCGACACTTTGATTAGGAGGGTTGGAATGTTCAAGGGAAGTTTATTTGATGATACAGAGTGAGCGTGGGTAAAAAATTACCACAGGGTTTTTCTAGTTTGAGGGTGTTGTTTAATGCAATAAAATGTTGTGTTATATTTGATTTTGAGACGAGTTCTACAGGCTTTTGCCTTAGTTTCCAAATTAGGAATATCTCAGGTAAATATATGTTTTGAGCCAACAGATTATGCATGATCATATTCTTAAAAACCCAGAACCTCAAGGCTTTTGCTCGGGAAACTATTATTTATCAAATAATAAGCATGTCTTTAAGAAGTTGGAATTTGTTTTAGACTACGACAATTAGGTAGTACGTTCTATACAGTTGAACGTTATAACAGTTTTTACATTGGAGAAAACTATAGATACTGCAAAAAAGTAATGAATTGTTCGGTTGTTCTTTGCCCAAACTAAGCGCTTGAATAAATATCGTTAAAATCTGCATTCAGTTAACTTAATGTTACGTATCTTGCAATGTTTTGGTAACATTTACGGTTTTCGTGAAATTTGGCTTCAAATGTTCTAAATTGGGATTTTGAAACGATCTAGGAGTTTTTATTCACATTTTCAAGATAACAGCCAATATATGAACATTTTCGATTAATTTCTATACTATAACTCAAACCGTTAAGGAGTTATGAATTTTTGTATAAAAATACATACAGACAGACAGACGCTACACGAAACTACATAGGACATATGTGTATATAAACTTTGAAGAATCGTGGAGGTTACTATTAAAAAATATATATAAACTATACCGTAAACATAAATTTGAATATTTCTAATATCACCCTATATTGTCCAAACAGGTAAAAATCTCTGTAGACGACCAAGTTAATACTTAAAGTGTTGGGGCTTCAATTTAATAAAAATAATGGACATAGATAGAGATTATTAAATTCAGAAACGAAAATATTTTGTCTTACAGTATGTTAAAATACGAACAAGATATTTAGCTTCAGCAAATTTGTAAATTTGTTCATAAAAAATGCATATACATTTAATTAAACTATATTTTTAGCAAAATGTAAGTGTGAATAATTGCTTAAGATAGATTTAATTGCACCACACCTAAAGAGCTCAATCCCAACAAGACAACAAAGAGGGATGGTAGTCTCATTATGGGATATTATTGTGGAGCACTTAGATAAATTGAAAGGGACATCAGCATAATGCTTATCTGTCACAATCCATTTGTTACTCAATATCTTCGTTTTGCATTAATTAAGCTCTTAGCTCATTAATTGTTATTTTCTTAAATCTTAAGTAAAATGAAATTTTCTAAAAATCTTTTCTCAAAGTTATAAGAGAATCTTCTTAGAATTATTATTCCTGATAGATCATTTCCCACCAAAATTTTTTTAGGAATTAAATTGTTATCAATTATCAATTAGTTGAAATGGGGACGCCACCTAAGTGCGTATTTAAACCCAAATATGAGTGAAGGATGATCTTATCTATATATAAAGCCAAAAGTACCCATGAACTTTTGAGAAAACTACAAGTCACACCCCCATAAATCATATACTTAAAATGTTCGTCATGACGAGAAACCTTACGCAAAACGTAATTGCTTTCCAAAGGGAACTTTCCATATACCTAATGTTAAAAATACCTCAGCTGTATTCATGTGTATGCTATTCTTTCAATTTATTACCTTATTAAAATCGGGTGAGATTGTTTGTATTACTGTATTCTGTTTTGTTTATTTCAGCTTAACCTAACCAATCAATAGTTTTTTTAATACTTATGAAGTCAAACGGGGTGAAGCCCGTGGGTAAAAACTAGTGTTGGTAATTGTAAGATTATGTTGGTAAATAGGTACGACTAATACCAACTTTCCCCATTCACGATTATTAAAACACGTTTTGCAACATTTAAGGATAAGAAATTTGATCCTGAAATTAAACCAAAACAAAATGTGGTTTTCAAAACACTACCACAACCACTAGCCCGAGAACTCGAGCTATGAAGTATCAAATCTCTATATTACCTAACCAATAATTGTACAGTATTCATACTTCTAGTTAGCTCTTTATCTTCTTATGTGAGCGTTATTACAACCAATCATACTAAAACAAAAGTTTTGGTGATGGTCTAGGTAGGAGATTTTAATCCATAATTAATCAGGAAGTATTGAAAAATATTATTCAGGTTATGGTTGATTTTTCTCCCAAAGATTAAAGAATTTATCTATATATAAAGCCAAAAGTACCCATGAACTTTTGAGAAAACTACAAGTCACACCCCCATAAACCATATACAAAAAAACCATATAAAATGTTCGCCATGACGAGAAACCTTGCGCAAAACTATCCATTATTTCATAAATTGCACTTTAAGGTCGTAATTCCTTTCCAAAGGGAACTTTTAATATACATAATGTTAAAAATACCTCAGCTGTATTCATGTGTATGTTATTCTTTCAATTTATTACCTTATTAAAATCGGGTGAGATTATTTGTTCGTATTACTGTATTCTGTTTGGTTTATTTCAGCTTAACCTAACCAATCAATAGTTTTATTAATACTTATGAAGTCAAACGGGGTGAAGCCCGTGGGTAAAAACTAGTGTTGGTAATTGTAAGATTATGTTGGTAAATAGATAGGCCTAATACCAACTTTCCCCATTCACGATTATTAAAACTAGTTTTGCGAAATTTTAGGATAAGAAATTTGATCCTGAAATTAAACCAAAACAAAATGTGGTTTTCAAAACACTACCTCAACCACACAGACCGAGAACTCGAGCTATGAAGTATCAAATCTCTATATTACCTAACCAATAATTGTACATTATTCATACTTCTAGTTAGCTCTTTAACTTCTTATGTGGGCGTTTTTATAACCAATCATACTAAAACAAAAGTTTTGGTGATGGACTAGGTAGGACATTTTAATTTATAATTAATCAGGAAATATTGAAAAATATTATTCAGGTTGTGGTTGATTTTTCTCCCAAAGATTAAAGAATTTATTTGTTTAGTAACAAAATTAAACATTATTTTTTCCTTCAAGTTCATACAGGGATTTTCAAACTGCCCTCAACAGAGTACTAACTAACTTATTTCAAGACTAAATAGTTCTGTGCTAAAGCCTTCGTTATAGAAAGTGAACTTGGAACATAAACACTACTGCCAAACGATAACAGTGTAACGATTCCCACTCTCTAAACGCAGTTCGAATCTAAAACTATTTTAGCTACGACCGTTTTTTAAACTAGAGGTTTCAGTTCAGTACTTAAAATTGAAAATATTCACTTAACATCATTGTTTACTTACTTAACAGCATATATTTGTCTAACAACACGAGTAACGGACCAATGAGGTTCAAGGATTGAGAGAGGAGAAGTAAAATTGTAATGATTCGAAATTCAACCAATCAGCTGTTCATGCCAAATTAATTGTTGATTGGTACAATTAGTGTTTGATACAATGTTTCGTTGCATCACTGTTACTGGCAATGAGAGGTTATAAACGAAAACATAACCTCTTTTAGAAATCAAATCAAATCAGTTTTATTTCCACAATATATAAAAAATTTACAATTTTTCAAAAAATAAAATACAAATATATATAGTCTTGAAGCATTATACAATAAATTGTTTACGTAAATTAATTCTAGTAAAATTAAATTTATAAAGTTATAATAGTAAAAACTTAAATACTAGTTGAATGTTTGCTCCGGCTTGAATAATAACTAATGTAATAGATAGGCTAATGGAAATGAGTCTACATGGACCTCAGTGGTCTGTGCGTAGACTCGAGTTGTTAAAAATTATATATATTTTTTGAGCTAATTTGCAATTGAAAAAAAAGTTTAAAATTAAATAAAAATGTACTATGTGCTATGGGAACGTGTAAAGATAAAGATAAGTTTAAAGATTATATAACAAATTGGAGTAAATATTAATTTAAATTTTTATTAACAGAATTGTTCAAAGGGGAAGCCAATAAATAAAATGGAAAAGAATTTTGTTGGTTGCAAGAGTATGCAGAGGCCCTGTCCGTTCAGTGCTGTCAGACAGTGGCAGGTCTCCTGTTATCAGTAGTGATAAGAGCCTCGGCCTCTTCATCGCTGATATCCAATAACCATCTATTAACTCGATTTTTGAATACACCTAATGTAGAAGAATGAAATAACTGAGTTGCTTTATACATAGTGGAATAATTCCGGAACAAAATATGTGCTATGTAGAAACAAATTGTTTTTGAAAAGGATTTGTGCTGCTGAATAGTAGAAATTCCAATTCTATTTGCATATCTTGTATTATGAGTGTGGGTTATGGAAGTAAAAATTGAATTGAAGTTTTTAAATATAAAAATTAGAAGATCTTTGATAAACAATTTTGCAATGGGGAATATTCCAGTTTCATGAAATAGTAAATCTGAGGGGTATCTTTTACACTTTTTGAAACCAGCTTTTATGATAGACTTTTGAACCAGAATCAGACCTGTGAGAAGTTATGAGTAGTGATTTTTAGTAATCAAAACAATTTCGTAGGTAAAGTAGTGTACGCAACTCGCGTAAATAATGTTAACGACACTCGTAGAAGTTTTTAAGGCACTCGCCAAGGCTCGTATCTTAAATTTTCTACTCGTGTCGTTAACACTATCTTCACGCAATCGTTGCGTAAACTACTATTACCTCTTAGAAGTTATGAGTAGTGATTTTAGT